AAATGAATAAATGAATAAATGAATAAATGAATAAATGAATAAATGAATAAATAAATGAATAAATAAATGAATAAATAAATGAATAAATGAATAAATGAATGAATGAATGAATGAATGAATGAATGAATGAATGAATGAATAAATAAAAAAATAAATGAATAAATAAATAAATAAATAAATAAATAAATATTGCTTAATGAATAAATGAATAAATGAATAGATGAATAAATGAATAAATGAATAAATGAATAAATGAATGAATGAATAAATGAATAAATGAATAAATGAATAGATGAATAAATGAATAAATGAATAAATGAATAAATGAATAAATGAATAAATGAATAAATGAATAAATGAAATAATGAATAAATGAATAAATGAATAAATGAATAAATGAATAAATGAATAAATGAATAAATGAATAAATGAATAAATGAATAAATGAATAAATGAATAAATAAATGAATAAATAAATGAATAAATAAATGAATAAATGAATAAATGAATAAATGAATAAATGAATAAATGAATAAATGAATAAATGAATAAATGAATAAATGAATAAATGAATAAATAAATAAATAAATAAATAAATAAATAAATAAATAAATAAATAAATGGATAAATAAATCAATACATGGATGGATGGATGGATGGATGGATGGATGAATGAATGAATATATGAATGAATGAATGAATGAATGAATGAATGAATGAATGAATGAATAAATAAATAAAAAAATAAATGAATAAATAAATAAATAAATGAATAAATAAATAAATATTGCTTTTTGTTCTGGAGATGAACTTTCAAATAATTTCGAAGGCAGACCTCGTATTCCTATGTCTTCCAAGGCTTCCAACATTCTCTTATGGCTAACCATGTCAAAAGCCTTGGATAAATCGGTGAATATACATATATCACTTTCGCCTTCTTCTATGATTTTATATAACCTGGCATTCAAGTTTGTAATCGCATCTTGCGTTGACTTCCCTTGACGAAAACCGATATAAGTTTGTGTTTTTCAAGGTATCCGGAGAGTCTATATTTCAGGGAGTTTTCAAATATTTTAGTAATCATTGAAGATTGGTCTGTAATTTTCTGTTTTTGTTTTGTCGCCTTTTTTGTGCAACAGTTTTACCACAGTTAATTTGAATTCTTTGAGACAAAATCCTTTCGAATATTCTATTTATCAAATGAGCTATTGGGATAGTATCTTCTTCACAAATTTCTTTCAATGTTTCACTTCTAATGGAATCATATCCAGGTGACTTACCGGATTTCAAATCATTAATTATATCTGCTATTTCTTTTTCAGATTTTGGTTAGATAAAAATGGAATGGTTCATTGATTTTTTTTTCTTGATTAGGAGGAGTATTTTGTTCTTCTCCGAATTCAACTGACAGTACTGAATCTGCTGATGGTTTATTCCGAAGAAAAAAAAATCACTGAAAGTGACAAATACTTGTGAGCAGACATACTATTCATTCCGAGTGTTTCGACTCATTATTCTCCTGGAAATGCTGACTATCAAAAGGTAGTGTGGCTTCGGGGATCTGTCATTATTTGAGAGTGAGAAAGAATTTCACATTTATTTCCGTTGTTTTTCAAACATTCCACCAGCTGATCAACTGCAGCTGCATACTGATGCTGATGAAAACCATGAAAACGTGTTCCGAATCACAACACTGTATTTTTGATTTTATATTTCGGATCACAGATTTTCAGCAGAGTCAGTGGATTTACTGACAGTACTGACCGGTTGACTTCGGAATATAGCCTTTATCTGCTAAGTTCTTGCTGACGTTTATAAAATAGTCATTGAAGAATTAGGATATTTTATTTTTATCATGTATCAGTTCACCTTTTTCTGATCTGATTTTTTTAATCTCATTATTTTTTATATTACCGTTTGTTAAAGTTTTCACCACATCCCAAAATGATCTTGAATTATTTTTGTCACGTTGAATTTTTTGTACAAAATAATTAGATTTTGTTGTTTTAATGATTCTATTCTAGTAATTACGATAATTTTGTATTCATTTGCATATTGATGAGAATTTTCTCTATAGGGTGTCCCGATTAGTCTGCCAAACTTTATCAGCGGCTTCTTCGACCAAAAATAGGAAGAAAAGTTCCAATGAATATGAGCCAAGAAATGTCTCCTAATGGAACTACGGCCCCCTGAAAAGGGGCTCCTGAAGATGATATTCCTTGAATATTTCCGAAACGCTAGGTGATAAAATGATGCAATTCGGTACAAGAACAAAACTTTCCATGCCCAATGCGGTGAACATAAAATCATTTCAGGGTTTCATTCAAACTTTTTCGTTTGTATATTTTTTAACAATTTAATCTCGAATTATGAAAATCCACACCGTTTTACAGAAAAAGGTGCTCTTGTTCCGCATCGATCAGATGTATCATTTTTGAGTGAAATCGATTTAAAAATATTGATGCACTCACATCTCATGCATAACGTTGCCAATTATTAAATCATAGTGGCTATAAACAAAACAAGTAGTTTCTTTTTACCAAACAAACTCATAAAAGCGCGAAAAATAGAAAAATTACGATGAAAAAATTACTTCAATTTTTGTGCATTTTTTTCCATTTCCACTACGCCTCATTGCAATGTTATGCATATCTGAGATGTAACAATATTTTCAAATTGCTTTTACTCGATAATAATACATCTAATCGTCACGAAACAAGAGTCCTTTTTTTCTGCAAAGATGTGTGAAATTACATAATCCGAGATTGAATTGTCGAAAAATATGCATAACAAAAATTTTAAGCAATATTTAATGTATTCCCACCCTGTATTATACACTCCTGATTGAAATTTTGAAATGATTTTATTTGCACTGCATTGGGCATGGAAAGTTTAGTTCTTGTACCATATTGCATCTTTTTATCGGCAATACTCAAGAAATATCATCTTCAGGAGCCCCCTTTCAGGGGGCCGTAGCTCCCTTAGGAGACATTTCTCGACTCATGTTCATTGAAAGTTTTCTTTCTATTTTCTATTTTTGGTAGTAAAAGCCGCTGGTGAAGTTTGGCAGGCTGATTCCGGGCAACCTGTATATTTCTCATTTAATTCTGATTTCGTATTTATCGATTTATTCAAACCGTCAACATTTTCTCCTCGGGAGCACACGACCACCTTCAGAAAAAAAATCCTACATGTTCGTTTAATGCTGGCACGCTTCTGTTTAATACACACTGGGTGTTTGGTAATCTGGTTGGAATATGTACAAATGCAGTTGTTGCTTCCTGGAGATTTGGATTTTCGTACACTGGTGTCAAAGTACTGTGCTTCTACAACTCACACCGTAGTTTTTGATAATTTCAGCAAATCAGCGCATTTAAAAATGCACAGGGTGTAGAGTAAACCCCATACCCATTTTTTTTCTGTGACGTAATAGTAATTTTCCTAACAAGTGCGGAAAGTGATTCTTTCCCGCACGTGACTGCCGTTGACACGAACGACGCGAAGCGGAGTTCGGGCAAGCAGTCGAGTGCGGGAAAGACACTTTCCGCATGAGTTAGGAACAATATTTTTTCTACAAGCGTAGGAAATTGATTGTATCGTTCAATTAATTATTCAAGCAAATAGGAACAACTAACAAGAGATATATATTCTCTATCTATTAATTATTAGTAATAGCTATTGTGAACTTACAGTTTGACGCATTATGTTGGTTCATTGCGGAAGCCAGCAGGCCCATTAGGAGTTTGGTCTCTAGGTTCCAGACACTTCTATGGAATGAGCCAAAAATACCTATTCTTCATTCGGTTTTTTCATTTCTTTATTGTTGCACCATTCAATTAAACGCGTGTATAGCTTCTCATACCTTTCTCAAGACTTCGTTGGTGATATTAACGCTTCTGTATCAAATCCCTATAGCTAGAAGTTTTTGATCACATTGTGGCATTTCCACTGAATCGAAAATGACAGTAACGCTGTGTCTGTCACTTCGACAATTTCAAACTTATTCGAGGTTTGATTGGTATGACAAATTGACGTTTCCCGTCAGATCAATCCAAATCTATAGGGGGATTTTTATAATAATCCATTTTTATTTCTCAATATTTCTTAATTTTTACAATAAACAGTGCAATTTGATGGATGATTCTGAACATACATACTTAATACTGCAACAAACAATCTTAAACTTTTATATTCCATCACCAACCACTTATATTACTAGCGATTATATCATATCTTTGTTTTCCCGCACTAGTGCGGGAAAAAATTTCCCGCACTAGTGTGGGAAAGTTTTCCCGTACTGTTGCGGGAAAATGACACTTTCCAAACTAAATTGCGTGCGGGTATAAGGTGAATCACGCACGCTTGTAGAAAAAAACAATACCACATCATGAAGAAAACAGAACCGTCAGGCGTGGTCAGGCTGTCAAGGATTTTGGCACTTCGGTCTTAATACGTGAATTTTCAGTGACCTCAAAAGGTGGCGATTGCGTCTATACGTCAAATTTCGGATACATACCGAAATCGGATTTAGAAAATTCAGGTTTTTAAGAAATGTTAAAGTTATGAGTAGTACGTTCCATTATTGATAACTGCATGAAACAATTGAAAAGTTATTGTACTCGATGTATTATTTGGGTTCACCCCCAATAAATAAATAAATGAATATATGAATGAATAAATGAATACATTGATAAATAAATAAATAAATGAATGAATGAATGAATGAATGAATGAATGAATGAAATAAATAAATAAATAAATAAATAAATAAATAAATAAATAAATAAATAAATAAATAAATAAATAAATAAATAAATAAATAAATAAATAAATAAATAAATAAATAAATAAATAAATGAATGAATAAACAAATAAATCAATTAATCAAAAATCAATGGATGAGTGAATGAATGAATGAATGAATTGATTGATAAAACTTCAAATAAATGAATAGAGATGTTTGTTAGAAGAATCAGTAATAGGAAAAATCAATATATTACCTGCTTGGGACAAGTTAGGCCCCCTGAATTCTAAAGGTCCAGTGAGCTGCTTTTTCAGTTCTCCTTCAAAATAAATGAATATTGTTGGTAAATTCTTATCAGGATAATTGGGTATGCACGTTGTGGATATTGATTTTATGAATTTCACGGTGGGGTATTTTGCAGCTAGGCACTTCATGTGTTCGTTGATTAAGGAACATAGTGGTATTCTGAAAAAGAGAACAATATATAATGGCTCAATATCTAAAACATTGTTTGTAGAATCATCAGTTAACGGAAATAAAATTCACGGTTTCATGTTCTGTGAAAGTGCAACAATTTTTCATAACATCATAAATACACTCACCGGCCACCAAAATAATTGGCAGAATTGTTCACCCTGTTACTTTTCCAATCCTTGTCCGATTCTTGTGAAATTTCGATCACATCGTGGATTTATGTTCCGGAATGTTAGCCTGAATATTAGTTTAAGTGAAAAGCTGATGACTTGATCTTTATACAGGGAAAAATCAAAGTCACTATTTCACCCTTCATTTCTTAACGCTCTGTGGCAAAATTGAGTGGTTGAACTTGGTTTCATCATGCTTCGGATTGAAGTGTGATCCTTTCTTAACACAATAGTTTTTGAATCACGTCAATATCTTATTTTTAAAGAAGATACAAGTATAAGAAAGTACATTTTTTAAATTTTATCATTACACGATTTAATAATAATCAGAACCTACATAAACTTATTGATTAACAACTGGAGAATTAATATCACATATTTCTACCTCATTTTCTTAGCACTTACAGAAAAAAATCTTAATTACAAAAAACAAACAAAAAGTAGAACTGTATATAAACAATAACGAGTCATTCAACGAGGCATTCAACCGCCGTGGCATCGAGTTGATCAAATTTCTAAAGTAGTCTTGAAGAATTTCATAAAAATCTCCTTGAAGGGCGAATCGTAGCTTTTGAAGAGTCTCTGACATGGCCGAACTAAGGCGAATGAGCCTCTGCAGTTCATTCCCAAGATAAGTAGTTCTGAATTATTGTTGATGAAAATTTAAAAAATCCATAATTTCCTAAAAGACTTATTGTATCTTCTCATAAAAATAATATATTGACTTGAATCTCGAACCATTGTGTTGAGACGGGACGAAAAAGGATCAAACTTCAATTCAAAACATGATGAAGCAGAAGGTTGGAGAATGGTTCTCTATTATTGTTAATAAAAATAAAGTATATTCTCTTGAAAAGTGGTTATCGACGAGAATTCAAAACCATTGTGTTAAGAAGGGATCACACTTCTATCCAAAACATAATGAAGCTATGTTTAACCACTCATCTTTGTCACTGGGTGTTAAGAAGTTTTGTGTTTCCCTGTATAATGATCAAGCCATCAGCTTTTCTTAGCACCTTGTATCCAGGCTAACATTTCGAAACATGTATATACGATTTGGTCGTAATTTCACCGAAATCGGACAAGAATTAAAAAAGTTACATAGCGAACAATTTGGCAACATTTTTTGGTGGCCGGTTTTTTTTTGCCGGTGAGTGTAGTTTCCAATGAATAATTATTCTTTCAATTTGTTATTACAAAGTAAATTGCAAGAGATATCAATATTTGTGTACGACTAGTGATGTAAAGGGGGGATCGTTGCCTTCGTGCTGTGGGGAGCGTTCGCGAAAGTTCGCGCACGATAAATCGTTCGTGCGCCCATGAAAGATCGTTCTTCAGAACTAACGAGAATTTTCAGGGACGAACGAGAATTTTCAGGACGAACGAGAATTTTCATCAGGAAAGAGATATTTCGGCACTATCCCGGCCAATCAGCGCGCTTCATCTGCTCGCTTTGATCCCGGTTAATCAGCGCTCGTGTATCGCATAAATATCCCCTTGTTTTGGTATTTGATTTAGTTAACACATTGATTCCTTTGGTTGGGTAAAGGCACAGATGTGAAGGTCAGCGTGTGTGATTACAGAAAATTAATTGTAGTGAATTTTTGGTTTTTCGCAGGAAATCAGATCGCGCTTCATCTGCTCGCTTTGATCCCGGTTAATCAGCGCTCGTGTATCGCATAAATATCCCCTTGTTTTGGTATATGATTTAGTTAACACATTGATTCCTTTGGTTGGGTAAAGGCACAGATGTGAAGGTCAGCGTGTGTGATTACAGAAAATTAATTGTAGTGAATTTTTGGTTTTTCGCAGGAAATCAGATGTACTTGAATTAATTCATCGGTAAACGTCAAAAAATGACAAGATTCAATATGCGAAGTGACACTTTTTTTTCAGTTTCTCACGTTACCACGACACAGTGCGCGAAGCAAGCAAACATCAAAGAAATCATTCGTTTCTAAATGTTTCACCATAATATCACATTAGGAGAGAGACTACCACACACTGAGAGCATTCTTTGCACATGCATGCTTTTCATGCATACTTTAATCGATTTAAGAATAGGTAATTTTTCTACAAACGTCAAAAAATGACAAGGTTCGCGCATTGATAACAATATGCGAAGTGACACTTTTTTTCAGTTTCTCACTTTACCACGACACAGTGAGCGTAATAAAACAGTGCGAGAAGTACATATTTCGCGCATTGCATGTAAATTATATGAGATTTTTGTATTATAACCTTTATGGTCCTCAGACTTCAATCGGGCAAACATCGGAGAAATCTTTCGTTTCTAAATGTTTAACCATAATAATTAAGGCTGCGCCTCGTTAAAAAAATAAGTTATGGTAAACATGATGTATTCTTGCAAATTTAGTAATTGTGAATACAGCCGGCCACACGAATGGCAACTCATTTAAATAAAATGTGTATAAAATGTCCCGAATCAGTAATGGGTCAAATGATACTGGAATACCATTGTTGTTCTAGAAAGTAACTGCTGTATCTTATGAATATACAGAGTGGGCCGTTGAAAACGAAACAGAGGCTCTGTAGGTCGCCAAAACCGGATTATAAAAAAATCTGAAACACGTCAACTATATTTTCGAGGAGGACATCGTTCTAAAATATTTTCAGCCCTGCGGCGTTGCCGCTTCTAGAGAAAAGAAGTAACAACTTTGTTATTTCAAATGGAACACCATGTATTTTATTGTATTTTTAGATTCTCCCCGGTGAGCTGATTTCATCAATGTATCACACTTGGGGTCCAGCTGTAATGGTTTCAGGGATATGAAGTGTTCAAAATCGAGATTTTTCAACTTTAGCATTTTTTTGTGTCGAAACTATTCATTATTGGTCAAAACGGCTTTCATGTCCCTATCTCAACTTGTGATTTACTATCTACTAACATTTAATTGGAACAGATACAGGGTAATCAGAATTCTGAGTCTTGAACCACCCTGTATTTGTTTCAAATAAATGTCAGTAGATAGTAAATCACAAGTTGAGATAGGGACATGAATGCCGTTTTGACCAATAATGAATAGTTTCGACACAAAAAAATGCTAAAGTTGAAAAATCTCGATTTTGAACACTTTATATCCCTGAAACCATTACAGCTGGACCCCAAGTGTGATACATTGATGAAATCAGCTCTTCGGGGAGAATCTAAAAATACAATAAAATACATGGTGTTCCATTTGAAATAACAAAGTTGTTGCTTCTTTTCTCTAGAAGCGGCAACGCCGCAGGGCTGAAAATATTTTAGAACGATGTCCCCCTTTCAGATTTTTTTTATAATCCGGTTTTGGCGACCTACAGAGCCTCTGTTTCGTTTTCAACGGCCCACTCTGTATATTTCATTACGTTGGACAAGGAAACATATTATTCATTCACTGTATCTAAGATAAAGATATCGTTAAACGTCGAAAGTCAAAATTAAACATGGCACCTATTTGAAAAGTGGATCATCATCTTATGAAGCGTTAGGAAAATTTTGAGCATTTTCAGCAATTTGAGAATTTCGAGCATTTCTAGCATTTTTAGGAATAACCAATATATTATGGCATTGGGAACATGAAATATAATCAGATTATCGTTAGTTCATGGAATGAAATTACCAATGTCATATAAGTATATTATTCAACGAGCGCATAATAGCCATTATGCGCACGTTCACAAACAACTATTCAAATATCAAAGAAACTTTGAGAGATCAGAAATATACCTCTGAAAATAAGGAAGGTTTCATTGCAAAATTACTAAATCTAATTAGAATTATTTATTTATGTCATCGAAAACTTATTGACAGAAATTTTAAATTTCAATGAACTGCTTATGACTTATTTTAATAATTTTCATTGTGAAAATATGATAAACAATGATGGGTCTAATTTTTATTGACAAAAAAAAAGTCGTGCGAGCCCATCAGTTAATTAATCTTATCACGTTATTACTCCATCTTACTGTCGCTATTAATCTTATTACTCGATTCGTCATAATAATGTCTGCATTAACTGTTGGGAATCGAGGTAGCAATGCATGAATGAAAAACTATGAAAAACTATTTATTTATTTTTTGAGAAATTCACAACTCTGTATCTCAATAGATGTAGATAAATATTTTCACACATATCCACATGAAAATAGTGCCTATATTTAGATTTACGATTTACTGCACGATCCTTGGGCGAATGCAAGACTACGAGTATACCCGAAAATATCAAATTTTGTTGTTTGAGCAAGGATTTTTCAGAGAATTATATTATTTGCCCTTAATGTAATCAACTTACCCTTGCTTGTATAAATGCAAAACGACCCAGATTCCTTCACCAGCTTTGTTAACCTCATTGACATAATCTTGGGCGGATATTTCTCCTACTAGCCCAAATTTTCTTCGTTCAGCGAGTGCTTTCAGTTCAGCAATTCTCTTATTTCTATATTCCAGTAATACACCCTCATCTTCGGAATCCTCTAATTCATCCAATTCATCGAGATTCAATTGTTCCAATATTTTTCCACCTTAAAATAAGCGATTCTGTTCAATTAAGTATCAGAAATGTATTCAGAGGGAAATCTACTAGTCAAAGAAGTGTCTTACAAATAGGTAATTGTATCATGAGTAGGTTTAGCCCTGTACATTACGATGAATCAATGTCAATAAATATTGTCAGTATTGATATGATAATCATGTCACAATAAATATTATACTCAAAACTATAAGAGTTATTCTGGTATAAGAAACCAATATAATACAGTAATGTCTCACTTTCCCGGCAGTCAGTTCTGGAGCTTCTGGAGGACCGTCAGCAAATTCCACTTCCAATCGGATCGATAATACGACCAAAAAAGGAGGACTGGAAGAATGCCTTAATGGTGGTCACTCCAGTCAGTGGAATGGGCAGTGAAATATTTCTACCCATTCAAGTCTCCGGGAGAGGACGAAGTTTTTTTATTTATTTATTTATTTATTTATTTATTTATATCCAAACAGACCTATTAGGTCTACTTACATGGATAATGATCAATACAATATAAACTTATATAATAATGCAGGTGTACATAATATGGCATAGGGTGATGAAGTAGATCAGACTGAAACCTGTACAGTATAAAAAATAATATTTGACAGATTTACCTTTATACATAATATGTATACAAAGAAATAGCTACATTAATATAAACTTATTGCCATTAAAATGATAAATTAATAATTTGCGATAACAGTGTCTTTCGAAAAACATTTTGTGAGCCTGTCCAATCTAAGTCAGTAAGGGAATTAAAGTGATTTGCTAATCTACACATGGATACAAGAGGAGCTCTCGTAGAAGTGGGAGATAAAGGAATGTTAAACATTACGGAAGTGCGAGTCCTTCTTGGAGGAACGTTAAAACGCAACTGAGACAAAATCTTAGGGGAATTTATTTTGTTATTAATAATTTTAAAAAGAAAGATCAATACCGCAAGTTTTCGCCTATCATCTAAAGATAGTATCTTAAATTCATTTCTGAGATGTATGGTTCTCACTGTGTTATAATCTGGTCGGAAGTGATATTTCTTATAATAAATAAATCTCAAAAATTTGTTTTGAATTTTTTCCAACAAAGATAATGTGGACTGGTTTTCAACAAACCAAATATGGGAACAATACTCCATTTTGGGTCTCACCAGACTATAATAAAGAGTCTTCAGTGCAGTTTTTCCTGCAGTCTTACAAAAGGGTAGAGAAGTTTTACTACCTCTCCTAGTTAAATAATTTCGAGCGAGTTTGGCGTGGAGCTATATTCCGCTCGATATTCCGCTAGGTTGGTCAACAGCGAGGGTTGTGTATATACACAAATCGGGTATGGCGCATCACCCCTATCCAAATCCTTCCGACCGATCAGCCTTACCTCGTTCCTATTGAAAACTCTAGAAAGAATTCTAGAGAGGCATATAAGAGAGGGGAATCTGAGAGAACATCCCCTAAATCCCCATCAATATGCCTAGCAAACAGGCAAATCAAGGGATTCAGCACTGAACAATCTTGTAGGAAAGATCAGCCATTCCTTTGATTATAAGGAAATTGCGCTGGCAGTCTCCTGGACATAGAAGGAGCGTTCAATAATGCCCTACCACAATCACTCTATATGCCAAAGGTCAGCAGTCAAATATGAAACTAGATCAAAACCATGATTGGAAATTGGTACGTCATATCATCACTGCATGGAGAGTCGATCAGGTTTAGAGCGGCAAAAAGTTGTCCACAGGGCGGGGTCCTTTCCCCCCTTATGTGGTTCTTCCTAGTTGACTCTCTGATGAACAATCTTTCCATGCAGGGGGTGGATTTTCAATGCTATGCAGATGATCTAGTCCTAATAGTTAGAGGGAAATTTGAAGCGACGATCTCAAACGGCCTACAAGAAGCCCTTAATTCTGTGTACAGATGGTGCGAGAGGGAGCAGATGTATGTGAACCCCCGGAAAACTGTAATCATCCCCTTTATCAAAAGGCAGAAGGTTGATAAGCTTCGTCAGCCTGTCCTATATGGAGAGAGCATTCCGTTTGCGACGAAGGTGAAATACCTAGGGTTCACCCTAGATAAAAGGCTCACCTGGAATGCCCACATGGCAAAAACTATTAACAAATCCAAATTCTCCCTCTGGTACCTCAGAAGAGTTTGCGGCAAATCATAGGGAATGAACCCCAAACATATTTCCTAGATTTACCAAACAATGGTGCAACCAATGGTCACGTATGGCTCGGTAGCCTGGCCATTACAGGGGCGATGTCCCCTACTCCAACGGAGCAATAGAAAACCTCCTGAACCTCACTCCCCTCTACATTGTCTTGAAGAAGGAAGCCAGGATGGTATCCTACAGATTCCTGTCACTGCAAAATGAAATTACAGGGTGGCGCTGGACCACTCAGAGATACTGTGTGAAATAAAAAATCACCAAACTCTAGGAATGGTTCCCGACATGTTGGCAAGTCAGACACGTTCAAACTCCTTTTCCCGAAGAGAAATGAGTGGGTAAGTGGATCAGTCCAATTCCCAGAGACCTAACACGTAATGTACACAGATGGTTCGAAAACTCCTCTTGAAGTTGGAGCCGGTGTGTTCAGCAGAAAACCGAAGACGGAAATATCTAGTCAATCTCGGTAAGTATGCTACAACCTGTCAGGCGGAGGTCTTCGCAATTGAATTGTGTGCTAGAGAGTTGACGAATAGACCTCTAGTAATCAAAAACATCAGTATTGCATCACACAGTCAGGCTGCTCTTGAAGCACAGAGCTCCAGCAAGATAAATTCCAAGCTTGTATGGAGCTGTATTGAATCCCTAGAATGTCTGGGTGCGAACAACAGAGTTACTTTGCTGTGTGTGCCTGGACACCAGGGGGTGGAGGGCAATGAGAATGCCGACATCCTCGCCAAACAGGGAACCGAATCTGTGTTCATAGGACCAGAACCATACTTTGGGATCACCGCAAGTGCGGCCAAAACAACTATCTCGGACTGGGCGGAGGGAAAAAGAGTCACATACTGGTCTGAATTACCAGGATTAACCCATTAGGAGGCGTTTCTGCCTAAACCATCGAAAAATATAATCTAGCAGATCCTAGAATGGAGCAGGGGTAACCTGCGAATTCTGACAGGTCTGCTTACGGGACACTGTCATCTAAGATACCACCTGGGAAGGATGGGCCTAACCCAACAAACGGACTGTTCTGCTGTGGAAGAAGAAAAAAAATGTGGAAAATCTCTCGGATTCAGTTAGTACCTGAAAAAATAAGATAACAAATTTTTATAAACAGTGGTCGTAAGAAGCTCCGTTTTCGAGATAAGGGGGTTCAATTTGAATGAAAAAATTGATTTTCCTTCATTCACTAGCGAAGCACTCTACAAAAATTCGAGATATTCTGGTGATATACTGAGTATCTGTAAGCAAACACGTTTGTGGTATTTTTCAGCTTATATGAATACCAGTGGCGTCGTTAGGACAATATCAATGTTTTTTGTGTAGGTGTCGGATTGTTCATTCAAGACATTTGATTGGATTACTGAGTAACCATAATGTGATATATTTTGATGTTGGCAGCATTTCAGTCACATGACCCACTAATTAATGCCGTAACGTACAGGGTGTTAATAAAAACAATTTTACGATTATTCTCAATTTCAACGCCCTATATCTCGAGGGGGTCTTACAACCAATGTTTATAGGAACTTGTCAACTTATTTTTTCAGGTACTATCTAAATCCGAGAGATTTCCCACATTTTGCCTGACACCCTGTATGTATACGCGATGCATCATCAGGTATTCAACTGGACCACTCTACATTGATTTGTCCCTACTTCGTAGCGTACGAGTTCTCCGCTGTTAGCAGGCTCAGTCAGAATGAACGCAGGCTGTGCTGCAAGTAAGGGGAAAAGTAGTCTAGTTGAATACTTGATTATTTATCGCGTATAATAGCTTTATTTTGAATTATTTCGAAAATTATGGTCAGATTAGACCCCCACTTCCCCTGAAATCAGGATTCACACGCACAAAACATAAGTGCTGTGAGCCAAATAGATCATTTAGTTATCAAGAGTAACTGTCTAAGGCTCGTTTTCTGTACAGATAAAAGTTTGTTTTCTATAAGGAATGCTGCTTTATTAGGAATACCTCAAGCACAGTAAAATGTTACCATCCCTCTCATATTCTGAATATGTGTTTATATGTATTTTTTAATGACCATATCTGTTCAATGAAGTGATATGCATAATGCATATGGTTCATACCTGTTCAAGAAATATTTTTCATATCTCACATAGCAAATCAAATATATTGATTGTGAAGTGAAACACGAAATATTCTGGAACCTAGAATCTTCAATATCTTACCTGATGGTATTTGAATATACAGTGTTATTCTCTTAAAAAAAAATGAAATCATTCCTCATAGAATAATGACTAGGTGTTAACACCATCACTACAGTGTGAAATGGGCGCTCATTCCAGTTGACCCCCATAAACCTAGATGAATCATTTTGGATATTTGAATTTGAATACAAAGTTATTGAATTTTTCGCTTATTTATGATGATTTATTAAATTATAATGAAACATTTCTTGCTCATTGTTTTTTGAGAAACTATGGTTCTGGTAGGTTTATTCCAAGTTGGCAGAACCACTGGGTATCTGTTTATTTTTGATAACTTGTCCTGGACAATTATCACCAATCATATTTGAATTTTCATCGAATATTGAAAATGCTGAAAACTAGACTTCTCAGAGTGTCGTAGTACAATATCTTCAACAAACCAGAAGTGGTCAAGGATCTACGAAATGCCTGTGACGAGAGCAGAAGATGTTGACGAAAATATGAGTTCTTCAAGTGGTGGTCCACGAGATCAGCTTATGGACATGTTTATGCAGATGATGTTGTTGATATTCCAATATTCACAACAGCAGGAAGCTACGAATTCCAGTTACCAAGTGATGCCTGATTTTAGTAAATCTATTCAGGACTTCAATGGAGAGGAAAGTCAGCATTGGG